AATACTTACCTTTTATATATTAGCTGAAATACATGCAATTTTCCTACTATATAGTAGGTAAGTTTGCGGTTTCGGACGCAGTCGTGCTCTCTTGTTTGTCGTCAAACAGTTGAGCACAGCCATGTGTGTATGCATCCTCTCGCAAAATGCAGTGAAACTCCCACATGACGCTAATAGTGTGATTAAGGTGTGTACATGTCTGTAATACACGTCGATAATGCGACTAAAACGGGAATACTCCACACGTCTTAATTCGATTTGTGTTTACTTCGAGTACGACTTTAATCGGATTAAGGTCATCAATAATCGCTGTTTACATGCTAGTTTCTTAATCAGAGTATTGTCTTAATTGGGTTAATATCGGAATATTGTTGTCCATGTAAAAGTGCTGAGAGTTTTAAGAAAGTAATCCTTAGGACAGCAACTAACAATTATTTTCGTAACTGATTAATCGGCCAAATTATTTTTTCAATTAATCGAATTTTAAAAATGTCAATACCATATTTTTTCAGTTATTTAAAATAAAATCCACAATATTTGAGGTACAAATATAAGCTTTTTTAAAATAAATATAAACAAATAAACTTGTGTGCTCGACACGTTTTTATTGTTCTGGAGGAGACAGCAAAAGATGCCAACATGCACGGCGACAGCAGCCCAATTCACAAGGAGCGAGATTTCCTCGTAATAAAATGACCGTGAGAAGAAAACTTATGTCAAGATCACAAGAAAGAAAAAATAACGCACGGCCTCTCAGGGCTTCCGTACAAGTTAATTAATTCTTAATCGACCTTAGAGCTGCAACAACTAATTGATAAAATCGATAATAATTTATCATAAAAATCGTTGTCAATGAATCATTATCGATTAGTTGGTCTGCGCGTGGGATATTTACTCCGGAGAGTAGATACTAAAGTTGTGTCCCAAATGGCATACTATACACTTACATTATGTACTGTGTACACTACCGTCTAGTGTATGAATTTTAGAAATGTAATATCATCCCAAACGGAACAATAGCTGATTTTACTAACCGGAAGTATTAGCCACTTCCTAGTCAGTGGTGCATGATTTCATACACACGTAATGCAACACTGTTAGCCAGAATACCCAGAGTTACGGACAACAACTTTCTTCATTTTACTGTTTATGTCAGCGTTACCTTTTATACCCAATGAGGAAGAAAATGTGCGACTTCCAGGTCCTCTAAAACAGGAGAGCATTTTACATTAAACACAGCGGAGAAGATCAAACTTTATAAAGCGGAGTTTGTGTAGCACGGAAGCGCGGCAGCGATGCGCTCACAAGTTGCTTTAAAGGCTTAGTTTCATTTAAGTGTACCGTCATTATATGCTAAATCAGTGTAACTTCTGTTGTTTATTATAACGGAAGTGATGAATTAGTAACGAGGCTGTGTTTTGCTCCTCACGCGCGATGCAGATGCACTCATACACAGTGGGAACGCAAGTAAGACCTGCAAATGTCTAATTAAAACGCCATGATCAAAAGTAAACAGAAGCAAAATAGTATTTCTAAAGACAGTGAGTAACAGAAACCACAAGGTGCAGTGAAAGTGAGATTTTATTATTCATTTAAGACTATAGTTTAATTCAGTGCTTTTTGTGCATCCATATATATATATATATATATACACACACACACACACACACACACACAAACTATTATATAATATAAACTACATCCATCCATCTTCCACTGCTTACTCCTTTTTCAGGGTCACAGGGGAGCTAGAGCCTCTCCCAGGGAGCATCGGGCATGAGTAGGGGTACACCCTGGACAAGGAGCCAATCCATCACAGGGCACAATCTCACATTAATACACTACGGACACGCCAATCAGCCTACCATACATGTCTTTGGACTGGGGGAGGAAACCCCCGCAGCACGGGGAGAACATGCAAACTCCACACACACAGGGCCCCGGTGGGACTCGAACCCGGGACCCTGGAGGTGTGAGGCGAACGTGCTAACCACTAATCACAGTGCGCCCCTAATATAAACTACATGTACTACAAAAAGCACAGAATTAAACTACAGTCCTAAATGAATAACATATATTCTGGTGTGTAATGGATTCTTTTCAGTCTTATATAATTGGACAAACAGTTGTGTAAGGTTTCAGTCTGAAGTTTAAATTTCTAACACTCCGTTTGTGTATTGTATTTTAAATTAGCAGCCCCCCCCCCAAAAAAAAAGGACCAAACGTTTGCCCCGATCCGATTAATCGGGGGAAATTAATCGCCCGATTGTGAAAATCGTTAGTTGCAGTCCTACTCCACGGGTGCGCAATTAATATGCAAATGTATCCGTGACGTCACCTGGCGACTTCTCCAGCATCCATTAGCTACTTTCTCCCGGAAAGTCTTGGCAAAATTGGACATCCTAACAGTAAGTTTTCTTTAACGTTCATCAGACGAAATAAACTAAAGCACGTAAAGTTTCATGTTGAGAAACTTTTTTTGTATGCTTCCAATTGAAATAATAGTAGGAACAACAAACTACTACAATTAGTCAGAAATGTAAATAAACAAAATGTTACATTTAGATGTAGCTTCGTATATATCCCGAGTTAAATCAGCTAGCGTATTTGTTGTGTGATGTTCAAACACACACATATACATACACACAGATATAGACGTCGTTTAACACTCATCTAGCTAAAGCTAAGACATAAAAAAGTTAGCTAGTGCTATCTCGCCGGGAAGTGTGGAGTGTATCTGGTATACAGAGACCGGAGTCAATCATGTACGTGCACCAGTAGAAGTGACCAGGACATGCTTACCATCTCGACTGTAATGAAGACACTGAAGCCGAATCCAGTCCAAACAGCAGCTCGTTCCGAGGCTCACCGGCCGGTGGGGGTTTGATGCTAACGTTAGCTAGCTGTATATTAAGTTACACTATAGCTAGAACCGCTCCAGGACAGTGACAGGGTCCAACATAACGTCCACTAATGACAAGCCGTTAAATTCATGCACAAAATGCCTAAACGCGTTTGTTTCGGGATTGTGTTTTTTTTTTAAACGCCAAACTCGACAAGAGTCTGCTCGGCTAGCACAATCAGACAAACTGCTAGCTAGATGGCTAACTTCACTATTGCTCCTGCTAGTTTCTCGACGCGAGAAGTTTATTAGCGAGCTCAGCGAGGTCGATTTAAACAGTTAAATATCACATTCAAAACTGCGTCTCTTGTCACGGTGGCGTTGTCTTTAACGATCGGTGATTAGGCCGATGATATGCTAATATGCCTCAGTAGTTAGCAAGCTAGCGATTTTTGATACAGGAACAAAAATACGAACACGTTTGAAAAAAGGAAAGGAAAAGAAAAAAACAGGAGTTGGCCAATCACCGATTGATATCGCACAACGTCACCAAACACCTCAACCAGTCGAACCAATCATATCGGTTCCCCCGTAGTTGCGTAACTGCTCTGGGTAACTTCGCGAATCGGCTGAATTGGAGAAGGCGAAAAATGCTCTCGTGTGATTGGTGCGTTTGAAAAACTCACACCCGCCCCCAAATACAGGCACCACCTACACATGCAAATCCAGTTCTGTGGACAAAACATAATGGTCCAGTAAAGTAACCATCTACACCTAAAAGTCTGTTGAAATGGGTTGCAATTTAACAATATAATCTTCTTAAACATCTAGCAGGTCAAAAAAATAAAATAATAATAAATCATTTTACTGTACTTTACAAGCATAGTTAGAAAGTAAATTAGAAAGTTTAACAATGTGCAGCACTCATGGTGGTTTAGTGGTTTGCACATTCACCTCACACCGCCATGGTCGGAGGTTTGAGTCCCACCGCTACACTGTGTCTGTAGAGTTTGTATGTTCTCCCCGGGTTACGGGGGGTTTCCTCTGGGTACTCCGGTTTCCTCCCCCAGTCCAAAGACATGCAAAGTAGGCTGATTGGCATGTCTAAAATGTATGAATGGGTGTGTGAATGTGTATGTGATTTTGCCCTGTGACGGATTGGCACCCTGTCCAGGGCATACCCCACCTTGTGTCCCATGCTCCCTGGAATAGGCTTCCTGCGATCCTGTAGGATAAGCGGTATAGAAGATGGATGGATGGAAGTATGTGCAGCATGACAGAACCTATAGCAAAAAATTTGTCCTATTCAGACTGGATTAAATTTACATAGAGTTGTATTGTAATCTCTAAATTTACAGTTGCTCCTATGTGATTTTATTTCCGTCCAGATCAGCCATGTCTGTGTTTTTCTGTCCTCTGATAATATTACAGATTGAATTACCTATTGTTTTCTTTTCTTTTTTCTTTTTTCCAAACTCAGCGGTTTTTTAATAATTTTAATCCCATACACATGTCTGGCATTTTCTATGCAGATGTGACCATATATTATACACTTCCTGAATCCATCCATCCATCCATCTTCTACCGCTTACTCCTTGTTCAGGATCACGGGGAACCTGGAGCCTATCCCAGGAAGCATCGGGCACAAGGCGACTTCCTGAATCTCGAACTGGAAATTGGTTGCTCTTTGATACTTTGTGATTATGAATAATATTTTCCTATTGTTGCCTGAACCTTGGTTTGGCCCAAACTGAAATACGAGCCAGCATCTCTTCTCTACTCTAGTGCCTCAACATACGATTTTCATTTTTCTGAAATTATGGGATTTTCACGAATACCACATTTTTTTATGTGTGTAAACGCTCCTATGAACAGTTTACAAATAAATCTGTTCACATCCAGCTTGACTATTATCCATCCGTTTTCCATACCACTTTTCCTTCACTGGGAGCCTGGAGCCTGTCTCAGAGAACTCGGGGCACAAGGCAGGGGACACCCTGGACCTCCCGCAGGGCGCAATCACACACATTCACACACTACGGACCATTTGGGAATGCCAATCGGCCTATGACGTATGTCTTTGGATTGGGGGAGGAAACCGGAGTACCCGTAGGAAACCCCTGAACCACGATGAGAACATGCAAACTCCCCACACACAGGGCAGAGGCAGGATTCGAACCCCCAACCCTGGAGGTGTGAGGCAAAACGTGCAAACCACTAAACCACAGTGCCCCCAACATGATTATTTATTTAATTGTTTGTTTATTTATTATTACTGCAGCTAATTAACGCTATACCCAACCCTAACCATAACCTCAGGAAACGTTATGGCTCTAATAAAAGCTGCAGTTTTTGTAAAAAAAAAAAAAAAAAAAAGTCAAGCCAAATATCCCCTCATGGTCAAAACTGTCAGATATCCCTGTCCTTGTGTGGACGTTTGGTCCCCACCAATATATAAAAACATGTCCACAAACCCACACCTTTTTTCTTTTTTTTTTGTAAATTGAGGGGTAAAATTAAAGGAACAGCCTTTACTAAGTGATTACTGGTTCTTGTTTGACTTTAAACTGGTTGTTGGACCCAGGTCTTGTCGCCTCAGCACTCGGCTGTAGTACTTGTAGTGTGCTATTCCTTCATGTGGCGGTCAACCCTCTTAGGGGCGTTCCCACGGGTGTCGCCGTCATCGTTATCAACAACAACAACACCGCTACTTCCGGTTTTCGCGGAAGACACTACAGCATCCGAGCGACAGGGAAATAGCAGGACTGTTCGTTTAGACTTGATGTGTTCTTGCTTCTCCATGAGTCGTGTAGAAGAGTTTAGATCTGACTTTCTGGCCGGTTGTGTTTCTGCTTAGTGTACTTGAAAGCCTTACGGTAAGTAGATACGTTAGATAGTACTGCTAGCTAGCAACCTAGCTAATTAGATGTAGCAGTGTGTTTGTTTAAAGGGAGGATCACGTGGTTTTTACGCGAAAGTTCAGGTCCTTTGCAAAGTGTAGGTATATGTTTTGCTTGTATGAACCGATAAGGTATGGTGCAGGGGTTAATCAGAGCCTGTCACGTGTTGTGTGTGTGTGTGTGTGTGTGTCTCCAGCTGGATTTCAGCAGTGTGTATGTGAGAGTATGAGCGGGTTGGAGGTGTTTCATGAGAAGCAAAGGTTGGAGCTGTGTGCTATTCACGCCCTAAACAACGTGCTGCAGGAGAGAGTGTTCACCAAGGAGGCGGCCGACGACATCTGCAAGCGGTGAGAGCACATTGTTTGTTTGTTGGTTTGTTTGTTTGTTTGTTTTTTTGTTTATAACCACAATCTTTTTCTGTTTGAGCATGGCACTAATGTAGCTGCCTGCTTAGAGCTTATGCAATGCTGAAGAAGCATATGTCGTTTGTTTTTGCCCCTTAGTGTCTTTGCACATTCTCAAAAAAACAGAGAAACTAGACCGCAAGTAACCATTCAGTTTTTCCAAGTGGGCAAGTGTAAGGATCTGAGCAACTCTGACAAGGAAGAAATTGCGATGGCTGAACGACTGGGTCAGAGCATCAACAAAACAGCAGGACTTGTGGGGGTGTTTCTGGTATGCAGGGGTTAGTACTGACCAAAAGTGGTCCAAGGAAGGACAACCGGTGAACCGTGACGGGGTCATGGGCACGCAAGGTGAATTGATGCACGTTGAGAGGAAAGACTAGTCTGTCTGGTCCGATCGCACAGAAGAGCTACTGTAGCACAAATTGCTGAAATATTTAATGCTGGCTATGATAGAAAGCGGTCAGAACACAGTGGCTTGCTGTGTATTGGTCTACGTAGCTGCAGACCGGTCAGAGTGCGCATGCTGACCCCTGTCCACCACCAAATGCGCCTACAATGGGCACATGAGCATCAGAACTGGACCGTGGCGCAATGGAAGAAGGTGGCCTGGTCTGATGAATCACGTTTTCTTTAACATCATGTGGACCGCTGGGTGCGTGTGCATCGCTTACCTGGGAAGAGATGGCACCAGGATGCACTACGGGAAGAAGGCAAGCTGCTGGAGGCAGTGTGATGTACTGGGCAATGTTCTGCTCAGAAACCTTGGGTCCTGGCATTCATGTGGATGTTACTTTGACACGTAGCACCTACCTAAACATGGTTCCAGACCAAGTACACCCCTTCATGGCAACGGTATTCCCTAATGTATAATACTGTATCACAATGTGGTATGCAAGCTGCACAAGGGAAAACCACAGAGGCTTGTCGGGTAGTTAAATCAGCACAGCGCATCATAGATTCTGAGCTCCAGAACCTGGACACTGTATATGCTAGCCGACTGCAAACAAAGACCAGCAGCAGCATCAAAGACTCCATTCACCCAGGGCACAGAATGTTTTTCCTCTTACCATCTGGAAAGAGGTACAGGGCCATCAAGTCACACACAAACAGATTCAAGTGCATTTTCTTTCCCAAAGCTGTCACTGCCGTCACTACTGACACTAAGCTTTACCCTTATCTACTACATGCACCATCGTGCACTGTCAATTTATACAGTGTGCCATATATACATCTCAAAACACTTTTTAATAATCAAAGCATCACATTTATGTGCATTCTTGTATATATTTTACGATGTGCACTGTTTGTTTGAGTTTTATGTTTAAAGTGCTCTTGTTGCTGTCTGAGAGTTTGCAAACCAAATTTCGTTGTATTGTATACAATGACGATAAATTACCTGACCTTACTTTACCTTAATGGCAGTGGCCTCTTTCAGTGGCCTCCAGATTCCCCAGACCTCAATCTGATTTAGCATCTGTGTGATGTGCTGGTCAAACAAGTCCGATCAATGGAGGCCACACATCGTAACTTACAGGACTTGGATCTGCTGTTAACGACTTGGTGCCGCAACACACCTTCAAAGGTCTTGTGTAGTCCATGCCTGGACAGGTCAGAGGCGGTTTGCAGCACAATGCCTACACGGTATTTTGGCAATTGGTTTTATTATTTATGGCTGATCGGTGTATATTTACCCCCCTCACTTGGGGGATGTCTTTTGTGTAATGAATACAAACTAGGCCTTTCCATATGACAAAGACCATGAGAAAACTGTTCATATTTTCATGTGCTTTTGATATTTGCATGAATTCCTGTCAGAATGGTAACAAAATTTCACATGGGTCAATTTACTCATATTACTACACACTAAACATGTTGCCGTAGCTGGTAGTGTTTGCATATCAAAGCACTTTGCAAACACCAATATTGCAGTAACAATTAAATGGCATTAAGAACTGTGTGGAAGTAACTGTAACCATGTGAACAGTGGAACCAGTCCATCTAGGATTTTGCAATTTTGTGATCCCAGAAATTAATTTTTTTTTGTCAATTTCCATAGATTTTCCACAGATTTAGACCAAGACGTATCATGTGACATTACAATGCGTTTTCAATCAAAGCCTTCTTTCATTCACCTGCATTGAACATGAGTTCAATCTAAAAATTGATCTAAAAGTTCTTATTTACCAACGCACATCACCGAAAGACAGTGCAAAACAAATTCGTGCAGTTGCAATTTTGCCAAGTCAAGTAGTTTTCCGCAAAAACAGCACAAAACTCTCCGCAAATTGCATCGCACTTTTTTTACCGCAGAAAAACCAAGCATCTTTGGCCGCAACAATTACAATCAAACTCTGCAAAATCCTGTACAGACTGAGTGGACCTGCAACAAATTATTATTTTTTTTTAAATAATCGAGTAATTTGTATAATATAATTATAATCTAATATAATTGATCATACAAAAGACTCAAAATTTGATGATTAAAGCCTTCATGCAAATGTTTCCATACCATTACTCTGAAAATGTCAAAATGAAACAGGCTACATTTCACTGGCCTTACTAAATAATAAAATTTCTGTGCTAGTACATCACATTCCTTTTCCTTGGATCAAAGAGTTGTCAATGAATTGTCATCATGGATGTTGTCAATTTGTCAGTCAATATTAATCGTTGCCCTAGTGTATAGTACAGGAACAGACTAACAGCCAGTTATGTGAATATATGTAATGAAAGAATCTAATTATTATTATTATTATTATTATTATTATTACTATTATTATTTAAACATGTCCTTCCAATAGCCTTGCCCCACAGTGTATGGTGAACCCACACCGCTCTGTGCTGGGTACGGGGAACTATGACGTGAACGTGATTATGGCGGCCCTCCAGAGTCGTGGATTGGCTGCAGTTTGGTGGGACAAACGTAGGTCAGTTTGTTCATCAAGTACACACAACAATAAACTTTTTTTTTTACACACATATATCCGTTGCTCATCTTGTTTGTATTATAACTGTAAATATTGTCATGTTGTGACGTTACGCTGTTCATTTCTCCTCTCGTCTCAGGTCAGTGCAGAATTTGTGTCTGGAGAAGGTCCAAGGTTTTATTTTGAACGTCCCGTCGCGAGTGTCGCTGGGAATCATGTCTCTCCCACTGAGACGCAGGCACTGGCTAGCAGTTCGGCAGGTCAACGGGCAGTACTACAACCTGGACTCTAAGCTTAAAGGTCCCGTGTGGATCGGCGGAGAAACAGAACTCAGGTGAATTTTGAGCACCTAAAAACTAACTTGCATTAATATAAATGGTAAATGCACCTGAGCATAATTTGCACAATGCACAATTAGCATTTTCCTAATTATTCTTTCTGGAGCCTGGAGCAACTGTGTGCCTGGCATTGTCCAGGACAACACACGCTGGCTTTACAACCAAGCTTTTGTTCTAGCTGAATAACGCCTGTTCTTTACATTTCGTTGCGGTATGCTTGGCTCACACTCTACTGATGAGCCATCATTTATACACAACTTCATTTGAAGTAAATGTCTAATGAATGAAAAAATTACTTTTTTACCAGAACAATCAAGAGCCAATCTAACTGGAAAAGACAACAATATTTTTAGCACTCTAATTTAAACCCCACGCCATATTTGTTTTACAGTTAATACTAGCATAGTCTGAGTCTCTTATATGTAGACTGAACAGATTTACCCTCAGTTCACTTGACTTTAATAAAGCATTCATTTAGAGTCCTATTGGGATCTCAGAGGGTTCCATAAATAATAAGTTCCACAAAGATTTAGATTTCGGTATTTCATTGCTATTCTGTATACAGGTGCATTTTTAAAAAATGTGAATATCGTGGAAAAGTTCATTGTTTTTCCCAGAATTTAATAAAAAAGGTGGAGCTTTCATATGTTATAGATTCAT